TCACTTGTAAATAAATAAGAAAAGTGACATTGTGTTTCAATGTTTTGCCTCCAGTGTCGGTCATCTGACAGTTCTTGCACGCAACCCATACTTTTATATGTTTTATTTTTCGAAATGAACAAAATACCCTGATGTCCCTAATCGCTTATATGCATTTACTTGGAGATTGGAGAATTAACGGTTAACGGATGATGAAGACCTTTTGGAAATTGTGAATGGATTACATCATGGTTACATCCTAGAAGACCTTCAGAAATAGACCCAGCCACTTTTGAAATATATGGTCTGATATTGAGTTCAAATGTAGGTTATGGTTAGAAAAACGAACTGTGAGATTCTCAGGAGGAATTATGTCCAAGATTGAAAGTGAGTTTCATGCTGAAATATCTGCAATTGTTATATAATTTTAATTCTTCAGGAACCATGTTCTCACACCTGATATAGAAGTACAAACACTGTGGTATATGTTAACAGGATCTATTTTGCAAGTTACATGTGATTTCAATAGGATTGATCAATTCTACAGCAAGTTGAGTTGTATGCTAAGTGACAAGAACAATTGCTAGACCTAGTTGTACCTACATTAGGTTCCTTTAAACCTAAAGAGATATTGAGCAGACCAGACAAGGTTTCTTTAATATTAGTAGATTTCCAAAATGTACTGGAGCCCTAGACTGTGGACCACAAGCTGAAAATTATCCTAATTGAAAGGGTTTGTTCTCTCTCAATGCACAAGCAGAGTGATGCTGAGCTGAAAATACTGAACCTTGTGTGCTGCTGGCCTAGAGCTACTCATGATGTTTATATTTTTTGGAAATTCCAATTTGGGAGCCAAGTTGGAAAATTGAGATGCTGCACCTCCAGATAATGAGGAAATAGAAGCTGTTATAGATTTTGTGGACAATGGACATACACAAATATTCTGCCAACTTAATGTGAATAAATGCTAAAGATAAAATAAATATGTTTAATTTTTTATTATGGTTCCAATACTTACTACTTCAACAATATTTCATTCTATTTCCATATATTATTAGGAATTAGTAAAACATTGTAAAACCTGCAAATGTATGGATGATGTATCTCTTAAATATCACATGGAAATGATACAATATACCTACATTAATTTATATCTGAAATAAGTAAAAAAAAACCTTTATAACTCAGGTACAAGGCATGAAAGATACCCATGATAAGGATACATTTTTAATTAAATTGAAAAGATACCAGGTAAATACAAAAAACATTATTTTGGTAATCTGTTCTCTTCTTGAAGAAATGTCATGTTTATTTCATATGTTCTTTTTTCCAGAATTTTATTTCATCCACAATCTCTGCTCTCTGTAGATTCCATCATTTCTGTTCATGGTTTTACTTGCAAATGCTTGAGTTTGAGCTGATGATCTTCTATAAAAGCAGCCTTCTGAATTTCAGCAAGTCCTATTTTTGTAGCACTCCATATTATCAACTTGCTGTTCAGGGGCTTTCTGTTCTTCTTGGAAGTGGAGCCATTCTCTACAATGAGAATATAGATGTAAAGTAACAAGGGATTAGTAACAGAGACATTAACAATAAATGTGCAAGAGTAGGTATATTTTACACACCTTTGTCATTACTGGACCCTTTACTGGTACCTACCTTCCAGCTCTGAGTGGTGATGAAATTTGTTTTTTGAACATATCAGGGGTGTACATAGACCAGACCATATCTAATTTTTGCCTGAGATATATGTGGTCACACTGGAAGACATGTAGTTATGTTTCAATAATAATGGAGCTAGAATAAGAATAAAGACAAAGGAAACATAGACACATGCAAGAATCCTGAAATTGTTCAGGAGATGGAATGTTTGATAAAGTACCTAGTGTAGTGTATAACAAACTTGTAAAAGAAGGGCAGTGGAGATATGTTTATAACAAATGATGGAATAAACATGGGCCAAAAATCTTCATCAATTTTCAGTGATATGAAAATAAACACCCAGGAAAATGCTGCATTTTTTGGGATTCTCCCTCCATATTTATATCCAAAAAGTTAATTGTTCATATGATCTAGTAATTTTTCATAACATTCTTCAACTGATTGAATCAGCAACTGAAAAGAATATGATTCATATTATGTTTCTTTTTTACTTTCTCACATTTCATAGGAACAGTACCTTCTGCTGTTCTAGTGAATTCAGGCAGAGAACACAATAATATTTCAAATGTTTATTCATCTATAAAATGTAAAACCATAACTCCATGATTTATGACATTATGAGTTATGTTATGAGTCGAACTAGGGTCCCTTAATGTAAACTGACGTATTTGTCATCTCTACAGGGTACGGACAGATCCTCGTCTCCTCTCACTCTAAAGTGTTTGTGAAACAGTTATATAGTTCCATCTTTATTCATTTCTAGGGATAAACACTAGATTTTTGGCGTTTGTTGTTTTTTAGGTTATATTGAGGTCACTGGCGTATCTTACGTAATTTCCATATGGAATTCCTGATTCAACTGTACCAAAATATAGATGAACAATCCTCTAGTTATGAGGGCGCCGTACATTATGCTATTTCTCGGCAAGTTTGAGGCAATGCAATTTTCTCGCAATTTTTCTCAATTTATTGCGAGTCGCCGTACATTGAGATATTTCTGTCATATTTTCTTGTTCATATTCACTATTTCCAGGTATTTTGAGCCTTCAATGTACTTTTTGAGGTTATTTGGTGTTTCAGGCCACGTTATGGAGAAAATAAGTATTTTATCAAGATGCTACGATGAATATTACTAAAAATTTTACTAAACTTGCCTTGAAATTGCAGGAAAAATAGGACTGGTTCGCATTGTTCGATTCAAAATTGCATTGCATCGAACTTTAATAATTTTCGAGAGGTAGCTTAGAGAACATATAAATTTTACTGAAAGCTCAATATATTTCACCAAAAGGGACTGTTTTTAGGCTGTATACAAGGGTTGGCTGAATTGACTGAATGAATTCTGATTTCAAACTGAGCAGTAGTTAATCTATGAACTGAATGAGCTGAGCCTTATGATTGAGAAATGGTGGAAACCTCGATGTGAATATCTAAACTACTGTACTCATGTAATGTGTGCCAAATATATTTTCGGAAATACAACTCGAAGAATTTATTGAGTGACTAATATCAACTATGTATAAAACTTCGTCTAGGACGAAAAGTAGGCTGATAAAGAGTTATTTGTAAAATGTGCAGGGAAATAAAGAATAGAATATACTTCACCCCCATGTTATATACATATGATTCTTAAAAGTCATTTTCAAATAATTTATTGATGAAAGTAAAAAGAAAGTAGGTATACGCAGTATAACTTATAGGCACGTTATTTGCACTCTTGCATCCTACATATTTTCTATTATTTGTGATAGAGTAGTAATTATATAAACTAATGGATCCGTTATCTTGGATTTTTCAATTTCGACGGAACAATCACTATCTCTTACCCCGAAAACCGCCAGATATCAATTTTGAATAGAATCGGATCTTCATCACGAAACTTGTTCGCCACATGATCTTCCTCAACAATTAAATACCCTGTACATACCTATTAATAAAATTTCGAATGATTTTCTGTAGCGCCCATGGATGTGACGTGACAGCAATGTCAGGGATGCCAGTAGACAAAACCAAAGTCTCTAGATCATTAAAAAAGAATGCAGCTATGATCTGTCCGTACCCTGTTAAGATGACTTTAACGTCAATTTTCATCAAGGGACCCTAAGTCGAACCACGTCGAACTTTTGAATTGAAGGGAGGAAGGTGAAGGGTGAAGCGCACATAAAGATAAGGGGGGTGGGGATCAGATGTGATAACAAGGGGAAAGAGCAAAATATATTCCGTCTCCCAATTGGTCACATGAATCACATGATATCGTAAACACGAACGTTGCACGCATGTGCGAGCTCATAGAAATTATACAAATACACTTGGCAACACAGCAGACCCAGAAAAAATTATCACATTTTTATATGCAGCACAGAAGGGACATGGGAGATATTTTTTTAAAATTATTTTTCACATTTTTATAACAGCACTGGAGGGACATGAAGAAATATAATTTTGTTTTTATCTCATTATAATGAGATAGCTAACTCATTATATTGAGATAAAAAAATATCTCCCTCATTTTTATGCTAAGAAAATATAGGAGATATTTTTTTAAAAAATATCTCACCATGGCCCTTCAGAGCTTTCGTATTGCGGAAGCCAGTAGGCCCATAAGGTGTTTGGTCTCTGGGTTTCAGACACTTCTAGGAAATGAGCCAAAAATACTTCTTTTTTATTCGATATTTTCATTTCTTTATTGTTGCACTATTCAATAAAACGCGTGTAAAGCTTCTCATACCTTTCTTATGCCTTCGTTGGCAATAACGCGCGCATCTGTATCGCATCCGTTTAGCTGGAAGTTTTTGATCACATTTTGTGGCAATTCCACTGAATCGAAAATGACAGTAACGCTGTGTCTGTCACTTCGACAATAACAAACTCATTTGAGGTTCGATTGGAATGACAACAATAATCGTTTCCCATCAGATCAATCCAAATCTATAGGGGGATATTTATAATAATCAGTTTTCATTTTTCAATACTTCTTAATTTTCATAATAAATAGTGCTTTTGAGGTATGATTCTGAACATACCTACATACTCAATACTGCAACAAACAAACTCATACTCTCATATTCCATCACCTACCACTTATATTTTGCCGTATTATCATATATTTGTTCCTCCCGCACTAGTGCATGATGACTAACTCATTTTAGTTCCAACAATTCCCGATAGTTGACCTCTCAAAATGAAGAATTCATCAGATAGATCCCTAATATACCAAAATCTCAATTTTGGTAAAAAAGGCTGACGACGATATGCTTATCCACTTATTACCTCACTTCTCAACTTCAACACTGGCATTTGGAAAATCAAGGAAGCTATAGCTAGCTGAAACTAATCTTTCCCTACTGTTCCTCTTCCAGATGGACTTTTTCGGTATCCAATTCGCCCCACTCAACGTACCTCTGGAGAGACGCCTACAAACCGTATCTGCAGCAGCATGGATGGTCACCATGGCCTTCGGCGGCTTCATAGGCTCCCTCCTAGCCATCTACCTCATCTTCTTCTGGAGATTCTGGTGGCTCCTCACCATCTACCTCACCTGGATTTGGACCATCGATAGACATAAGGCCGAGCGAGGAGGCAGACCCTTCAAATGGGTGAGGTCTTGGACCTGGTGGAGGTACAACAGGGACTACTTTCCTCTGAGGGTAGAGCGGGTGCCTTTCGTGGAGCTGGACCCCAAGAGGAACTACCTCTTCGCGTGCTTTCCCCACGGGATGCTTTCTAGTGGGGCATTCAACGCCTTTGGGACCGAGTTCAGTGACTTTAGGAGTATTTTTCCTCATCACGATCCGCGAGTGGTTACCCTAGCTCAGCACTATCAGATGCCCTTTTTCAGAGACTTGGCGCTAGGGATGGGAGGCATCTCCTCCTCTTCTGCGTCCATAGATTACGTGCTGAGTAGGCCTGGTGGGGGGTATGTTTGTGTGCTGATGGTGGGGGGAGCTGCGGAAGCTTTCTATTGCAAACCGGGCGATTATAAAGTGATTTTGAAGCAGAGGAAGGGGTTTGTGCGGTTGGCTTTGAAGAATGGGACGCCTATAGTGCCCGTTTTTTCTTTCGGGGAGATTGATTTGTTCGATCAGTTGGAAGGGTCGATGTTGAGGAATTTCCAGGAGAAGATTAGGAAGTGGATTGGTTTGGCACCGGTGTTGCCTGTCGGGCGAGGATTCTTTCAGTATTCCTTTGGAATTATCCCAAGGAGACGTCCAGTTACTACAGTAGGTGAGTTAAACCTAGAGGAAAGCTCCGAGAGAAGGGTGGAAATCACGTCATCACAATTCATATTTGGCGTAGTCGGTAGGATTATTCAGTCATAACTATTGAGACATAGGCTAAGGGCGTGTTTGAACCAAAATATCGCTTTATGACCAAATATGTCCCAATAAAATATTGCTGTGGAAAAAGATAGAGGGCGTTCCAAAAGAAAAAGTATTGATCGCCATATTTTGATCCAAACAATCCGCCCTCAGCCTTTGCCTCAACAGTTATGATTCACCCTGTATAACTGGCTATTTTGAGACAAATCATTTTCATTGTAAAAGTAGGACTCCTACTCTCAACTATTCAGTAATTATATGAACAAGTTATACTTCTGAAGAAAAATAAATAATTCCTCTGAAAGCTATACAGGGTCGTGTTTCCTAAAAACGGTACGAAACATCAGAAGGTGATTCGCTAGGTCTTTAAAAAAAAATCTTATGAACATAATTTTGTCCGCCGTTCATTTCTCTATGATACAGGGCATAAAATATTGTAACTCAGTTCCCTTCCACAACGCTTCTGAACTCATCAATTCAAATCTGATTACTAGCTCGAAATACAAAAACGTAAAACAGTGCCATATGGGCGAGATGTTTTTTCCGTAAAGATCATTTTTCTTGCAATTTAATGATATGTAATAGGGTGGTTTCAATTTTCTTTCAAGAGACTAAAAAGTTTATTTTGAGTTGTTTATTAAAAAAAAAAAGAAGAGTCAGTGGCGCACATTTTTTTCTTGATATCAATTGATGTGGTGACCACTGAGAAACGCCACTGGACCTAATAATTTCTATATAGTTGGGGCTATGTAAGTTCCTCATTACTTCAAATCGGTTTAATGATATTTTGAGGAATATTTATGATATTTTCTGATATGATATTTTCTAAAAATCGATTCGTTTCAAACTGCAATGCCCTGTCCTATCTCAGAAACAGGGCAACTCCAGACATCTGCATAGGAACTATTTTTCCTAAAAGGCCCTAGCAGATCATCGTACCGTAGTTTGGAATCACCCTGTATATAAGACCCCTGCTTACCTACTCAACCATTAATATTTGAAGAGGGTCAAAATACAGTCATGCTTTATCAATTTTGAATAAACAAATGATAAACTCAAACCATCTTGTTTATCTGAGTTCTTGAGTTGATATAACTATAGATGCACCTAAGTCAAATAATTTCTCAAATAGAATGACTAAGTAGTGTATTAAAATCTGTCAGACATACATATACCGGGTGTCAACAAATCTATTAGACGAGTCATAACTTCTATAGACCATTAGGTGTATCAAAATGAGATTTGGTATAAGTAAATGGTATGTGAAGAGGAGAGTTTTCACATATTTCCTTCCTTCCTATTTCACTTCCTGGTCACTTCCGGTTTCACCGGAAATGGCTCCGGTTCTAAATTTTTAAATAGAACACCCTGTATATTGTAACATTTTCGGATTTCTGAGACAATTCTAGATCAGAATGTGACATTTTCGAAAGTTTTTATGCCTACTTAATTTTTTCGGAGTCATTTTTAAAATTACATCTAGGTGGCCATGATCGGAAGTAAACTAATCTAAGGACCTCAGGTGATATCAGAAAATTACAATCGCGAAGTTTCAGTGACAAGTATGATAGATATGAATAAGACATGTTGGCAAAATTACATTTTCGTGTCTAACTGATATTTTTCAAATGGCGACCTTTTTTTGACAAGCACTTTCCGAAAAAAGGATATTTTGACGAATCTAATGATACTAATTTATTTGCGATTGGATTACAAATAAGAACATAAATTAAATATTACTGACGAAAATACTTCATAATAATTCATTTACTTTTGTCAAGTGTGCCATGGATGATAGTTCATTTACTTGTAAGCACTTCCCGAATAAAGGATATTTTGATGAATCAAACGATACTGATTTATTTGCGATTAGATCAACAAATTTAACAAAATTAAAAATATCTTCAGCGATGCACTTACATTTTTTTCAATTTCCTAATTTCTTTAAATTTTCACTATAGTAAATTTTCAAAGTGCATTCCTCCTTGTTCAAGACACATATTTAATATTTAATTTATGTTTTCATTTGTAATCCAATCGCAAATAAATTAGTATCGTTAGATTCGTCAAAATACCCTTTTTTCGGAAAGTGCCTTGTCAAGAAATGGTCGCCATTTGAAAAATAATAGTTAGACATTAGAATGTAATTTTGCCAATTTGTCTTATTCATATCTATCATACTTGTCACTAAAACTTCGCGATTGTAATTTTCTGATATCACCTGAGGTCCTTCGATTAGTTTACTTCCGATCATGACCACCTATAGATGTAATTTCAAAAGTGACTCCGAAATAATTGAGTGGGCATAAAAACTTTCGAAAATGTCACATTCTGATCTAAAATCTTCTCAGAAATCCAAAAATGTTACGATATACAGGGTGTTCCGGTGAAACCGCAAGTGACCGGGAAGTGACAAATATGTGGAAACTCTCGACTTCACATACCATTTACATATACCAAATCTCATTTTGATACACTTAATGGTCTAGAAGTTATGACTTGTCTAATAGATTCGTTGACAACCGGTATATATATAGCATTGATAAGGAACTATATTATGTATACATAAGAGCTCGCATTAGAGTGCTGAATGTAGTAGCAAACAACAGGTTTACCGAAATGAAGTTATGTAATTGAGCACTAATAGAGGAAATTTATGTAATTAGGCCTCGAATTAGGCAGTAATTATGGAAAACTGGTTGTACCGGGTTGTACATTACCATGTTACCATCACCTTATCGATGTATTGTGTAACATTGAAAAACTTGTTATACACATATTGTCTGTAGGTTAATCGAGGAGGTAGTTCATTCATTTTAATTGATTTTTTTGTGATTTTCTCTCCTCGTTTCTATAAAATAAAAATATGCGTATTATTTCAATATATTTCTAGTGGGACAAATCAGATGATTTGCCCCAAAATGTCACTGCGTTTAAATTTTTCTATCAGGGAGCATAAAAGAAAAATCCAGTAACATTGTCAGTAACACTTTGTTTGAACAAATGTTTGAAGGAAAGAAATATAGATATCGAATTTTTACTTATCTTTGGACGTTCCGGGAACGAATCTGCTCCCGTTCTCAACATGAAAGTGCTCTGTTTATGATTTGACACTTCTCAGTGTGATACTGATATTGGCATATGAATGAGTGATTTTAGTCTACAAACATGATTTTCATGTTCAGTTTTCAGTAGTGAATATCATGTTCTATCTATATCAACCGAACAGGAAGCAATGCTATTGTCTTCGTTCAGAAGAATGCTCGGAAGAATGCAAGCGGATTTCTTGATTTTTCTTTTTTGGTTATCTTCCTTTTCTATGATTTTGATATTATTCCGCTTGCATTCTTCTGAACGGAGACAATAGCATTGCTTCCTGTTCAGTTGATATAGATAGATATTCACTACTGAAAACTGAACATGAGAATGGTAGATTCAAGATCAATTAATAAAAACCACTCATTCATCTGCCACCATCAGTATGACACTGAGAAGGGTCAAGATATAAGCAGAGCACAACTTCCAAAGAAAAATATGTTGCATTTTCATGTTGAGAACGGGAGCAGATTCGTTCCCGAAACGTCCAAAGATAAGTAAAAATTCGATATTTCTTCAATATATCTATATTTCTTTCCTTCAGACATTGTTTCAAACAAACTGTCACTGACAAGCTACTGGATTTCTGATCTGATCCCACTCATATTTTTATTTCATAGAAAAGATGAGAGAAAATACCAAAAAATCAAGTAAAATGAATTGTTATACACAGTTTGTGTGCATCCGATTCGTTTGAACTTCAAACGGACTGGCATCGTGTGGCGTTTGTTTTTTGCTGGAGCTTCTTCAATTGACCATTCCTGAACACGTGATTTTGACATGGTTTCTTGAGGGGCACACAAACTATCTGTTAGGTTACATTTGATGAGCAAAGCCCTGGCCATCCCATCTCTATCCCTGCCATATCCACAATATGATAACAGTTTCACCAAACAAAATTATGGAATTCTTTCTGGTTCCAACTCGGATTCCAAGGAAAACGATCCCACTTATTCTGGTTTTATATGACAAATCTTGACAAAATACAATGTTTGCCCCTCAGCAACCTGTCAAATGACGTAATTCTGGAATGATTAATTGACTCTGGGCAGGCTATAACTCTATACAGTGAGGATGTAAAAAGTCCTCCGCCCCTTTAACGTTTGAACGGAACAAGCTAGCGAGGTCGAGTGAAATTCAGGCAAAAAGGTACCTCTTTCACTACTATTTGGCATGAAATTGGTTGTGGTCACGTGACCTAGTATCAAGTGGGCACCATCATTTTCTTGTATTCAAATATAAAAAGGAGTCACGTAGTACCTTGTTTTGAAGGCCTTTCGATTCTCAATCCGACACCGCTTCGTTTGTACAAATCGGCCCAGCCGTTTCAAAATGACAATAAGCGTTTGAAATTTGCTTCAAATATTAATATTAATGAATTAAAAACCTTAATAACTTTTAATTGCAACAGAATTTCAAGTAGGAATTCTAGCAAGTGCTCGAGCATCCTCGAAATGTTCATCGTTCACTTATTGACACGACAAAATCGGCTTTGGGATTCAATCCAAACATGATTCACTGTTTCCGAAGTACATTCCAAGCGCTTGTCAATTTGAAACGGCTTGACCGATTTGCACAAACAAAGCGGAGTTGGATAGAGAATCGAAATGCCTTCAAAACAAGGTACCACGTGACTCCTCTTCATATTTGAAAAAAAAAGTTGATAATGCGTACTTGACTCTAGGTCACGTGACCACTACCATTTTCATGCCAAAATAGTAGTGAAAGAGGTACTTTTTTGCCTGAACCCCGATCTTGCTAGCTTGTTCCGTTCAAAGGTTAAAGGGGGGGGAGGACTCTTTACGTCCTCACTGTATAAATAGGTATATCCAGGTGTAGATAAAATCGAGGGGTAAATCTCCTTGGAAGTCTGGTGTACACTCCGCTGGTAGTCTTTGGAAGTCTTTGAAGGTCTTTGGAAATCTTTGGAAGTCTTTGGATGTCTTTGGATGTCTTTGGAAGTCTTTGGATGTCTTTGGATATCTTTGGATGTCTTTGGATGTCTTTGGATGTCTTTGGATGTCTTTGGATGTCTTTGGATGTCTTTGGATGTCTTTGGATGTCTTTGGATGTCTTTGGATGTCTTTGGATGTCTTTGGATGTCTTTGGATGTCTTTGGATGTCTTTGGATGTCTTTGGAAGTCTTGGAAGTTTTTGGGAGTCTTCGGGAGTCATTGGAAGTCTTTGGAAGTCTTGGTTCATTGGAAGTCTGGTGTACACATTTTTCCTGGAGAATTACCCCTCGGATAAAATAATGGATCTCATCTGAGTACCTACGTACCTACTTAACGAGGGGGAAACAACTACCCGAAATGTGTACCATATTTAAATACTTAATGTATTGAAAAAGATACTTAATAGTTATTTAACCAACTAGTGTATTAGTGAGGGCGATTAATGATCGAGATATTTTAAGGTGCGAGCGAAGCGAGTGCGTTAATGTTCGAGATCATTAATAGCCATTTAATATACGAGTTGGTTACAACATTTTTCCGTTGACTATATTTCTCATTTCTCCTGCAATGAAGAAAACTCTTGGTTCACGAATTCATCATTCATCCGGAAACTACTAAGAATCACCCAGTAGCCTTGTTACTGACATTAGTGACATTTGACATTTGTCAAAATGATCAACATAGAAAATGAATTCCTTGTGTTAGAAAACAGGGATTAAAATCGTTTCAGAAACTTGGAAAGGCAAACCCGTTAACGGAAAATCTTCGATGAAATCCATATTTTCGATTAAAATGCAGATTCCGTAAGTTATATCATAAATAACAATGAATGCACGCGGTGTATGTTTGGTTGCCTATGAAGCAATCGTTCATTAATAGACAAATTGCATGATCATTAATAGGGGTCATTAATGAACGATTTCTTAAACATTAAACTTACTCGTTAATACGAGGTCGACAGAAAAGTACTTAATATTCCATGGTGTACACCTATTTGAAGAGTTGGTTTCCCCTCGCTACTTAATATGTAAGGCATTCATGACTTTTATTATCATGACCAATGAGTTTATATGTTGCAGTTGGGAAACCTTTGGATGTGCCAAAAATCGAGAATCCATCAAGAGAAGAAGTAGAAGAATACCACGCCAAATTTGTGCAGTGTCTGACTGAACTGTTTGAAGAACAGAAATATAATTACTTGGAGAATCCAGAGGAGAAGAAGTTGATTATATCATGATATATAAGATTCCAACCTGTTATTTAATCATTTTATGAAGTTTATATATTTATATACACATAGATATTATGGTGTTAATTTCTTTCAATGGTGGCAGATTTATGCAAAATTTGCATATATTTGATTTTAGTTCATTATTGACTTTCAACGTTTCTTATACCTCTATTGGCTTTAAGCGTAATATATCAATCAACGCTTATGCTTTTGGTTTTCACAAGGATGGAACTTACATCAAGTATATTTGTGTGAAAATATCGGTCTCATTGATATAATAGGTTTCAAATCACATTGAAGCTTGGGCATAGTACTATATTATGAGATTATCCACAGTCGTATAAATCCACTTTAGTTCTGAAAGGAAGAAATCGTAATAGATATTTACGATACGAGTATCGTAAAGACTCATATCACGATATGAGATGGGAAAGTTGTTGTTAACCCATCGATTATCGTAATATGAATTTACGATACGAATATAGTACAATATTTTACCTACTACCAAAAACGCTAATTATTTAATCAAAAATGAAGGTTGGGCGTATACATACTTGTCATGAATCTATTGTGTTCTCGGTTGTTTCTCATTCTTCAAACTGTCAACTTTGACGCGTTCATTTCAATTTGAGAAAAATTTATCGAAAAAATTCCGATCACAAATTTATTGATCCATATATAAAAATTGAAGAAAATCAAGCAATTCATACTTCAGTATCTGCTATATTTAGGATCAATCAGTTCGTATTCCTGTTCTCTTTGACTAAAACAATGGAAATTGAAATTGTGTTTTCACTTTACCGCACTAGTACGGATACTAGAATCAGTGCGTCGTAATGTTTAACATTACATATTGGTGGTAGGTAATAGATAATACCACATCGAGTCCTTCTGAAAGAAAATGTATCGATTAGGTAGGTATACCTACTTTCAATTTTTTACAAAAGCTCCTATATACTTCAAATGAAGAAATGGCGATGAAAATGTAAATTGTGTAATGCAGATTTTGATATCAACAGTTTCACCAGTTTGAAAACAAGAAAATAGTAGTTTAAAATACTGAAGAATTACACTTGTATAGATAGCCTATGTCCCAAAGACGTAGAAAATAAAATATTATATTAAAGCTGTGTTGATAAATACGGAACATAGAAAATATTATCACCTCAATAATCAATATATTTTATTCTATCTTGTCTATTTATCAACACACTTCTATCAGTTTATTTGCCATTTCTTTTTTGTTTTGCTATCTATAAAAGCGTGTTACTGATGTCGTTTCTCGAACTTATATTTATTTTCCACTTCTTTTCAGTTTGGCTACTTATACATAGTGGGCCATTGAAAACGAAACAGCGGTTCTGTAGGTCGGCAAAACCGGATTATGAAAAAAATCTGATACATGTCAATTACATTTTCGAGAGGGGCATCCTTCTTAAATATTTTCAGCCCTGCGGCGTTGCCGCTTCTAACGAAAAGAAGCAACAACTTTGTTATTTCAAATGGAACACCTTGTATATTTCATTGCATTTTCAGATGCTCCCCGAAGAGCTGATTTCATCAATGCATCACTTGGGGTCTAGCTGGAATGATTTCAGGGATATATAGGGTGTTCAAAATCGAGATTTTTCAACTTTAGGATTCTTGTGTGTCATATTGTATTCGCCATCTTGATCTTCCAAACTTTGATGAAAGAATCAAAATTTCCGACTCCAGAAACCCCCAACTACCAATTTTGAGTAGAATCAAATCATAATAAGAAAATTCGTTCGCCATATTTTGACGAAGGAATCATAATCTGCGGCACTAAAAACACCCAGATAACAGTTTTGAATAGAATCGGCATACAATTATTACAAAACTCGTTCGCTATATTGGATAGGCCATCTTGAATTTCTCATTTTGACGAAAGAATCCTAATATGCGACCCCGAAAACCCCCAGATACCAATTTTGAATAGAATAGAAACATAATTACAGAACTCGTTCGCCATCTTGGATCCGTTATCTGGAATTTCCTTATTTTGACGAAATAATCGTAATCTCTGACCACGAAAACCCCTAGATACCAATTTTGAATAGTATCGGATCATAATTATAAATCTCGTCCATTCATATTGAATCCGCCATATTTATCTTCCAAATCTTTGATGGAAGAATCATAATCTACGACTCCTAACACCCCCAGATAGCTATTTTAAATAATATCGGGTCATCATTACAAAACTCGTTCGCCATATTGGATCCGCCAGCTTGAATTTCCAAATTTCGACAAAATATCCATAAGCTGCTGCCCTGAAAACCCTCAGATTGAAATTTTGAATTGAATCGGAATATAATTATTACAAAACTCGTTCACCATATTGGATCCGCTATCTTTAATTTCCTATATTTGACTAAGGAATCATAATCTCCGACCCCGAAAACCATCAGATACCAATTTTGAATAGAATTGGATGATAATTACAAAATTCATTTGCCATACTGGATATGAATTTCCAACGTTTGATGAAAGAATCATAATCTCCGACCACAAAAACACCCAATAACCAATTTTGAATAGATTCGGATCATAATTACAATGCCAATGTCACCAGCATTACAATGCCAATGTCACCAGAATTTTTGAAGTTGGTCAAATCACGTTTGAACATTTCGTCACAGTCAATCAAGCAATCATACATACCAAGCTGATATAAGCGTGTTAACAATAGTACATTGTTTTATTAGGATCAAATTTGACAGTTTGTTTGACAAGCGATATTTGCTGTTGCGAGGTGGAGCGACCGCTGAGCCGAGCACGCGATTTTGCAAGTCGAACAGAGTCACTTTTGATCCGAATGAAAGAAACTAGATTTTTTGCAGGAATAATTGTTATATAAGTAAAAAAATATAAGTGAAAATTTCACTATTTTGAGTCATTTGAGCATGTCAGTGTCAAAGCAGCTATCATACCAGCTGTCATCCGACCCTTTTTTTAGTTCCTTGGAATCAAAATTCAACTTTAGCTTCTAGACACTGAAAGTGTTGCCTAGCAACATACGTATACTAACCATTTCATTGTGTCAGTAAGAAAAACGTCAACTTCAGGAGTTAATTTTGGAACAAAAATGGACGACTTGAGCCGATTTCAGAAAAAAAAAACAATTAACTTTATGACTTTTTTATTTAACTAAAAAAATACATTAGCTTACTGGATTTCCATATTGGAAAAATGACCGTGTGTCAGAGTTAGATTCTCCATAGGTACTGGTGAAATGATATGGGGAGAATATTTCACTAGTCACTAAACGATCGTAGTTCAATCATCTAAATGTTTATTGTTCTTATTATGTTGAATGTTAAAATAGTAGGAGAGCCAGGTGTAAATTTCGACCGTCTTCTGATCACGAAATCCCGAATTCTCGAAATCGAGTGAAAATTTTCGCACAGGATGGTGCAATGTTTCAATCACTCTGTTCAGGATAGTGATTGGCACAGGTGCCGTTTGATGAACTACAATGTTTTCACATTCCTTCGGGACATTATATCATTTCGTTATCGGATGATGTTCGAATTTCGCAGCCGGCTTTGGACTAAAGAGTTTTGTTCTGTTTCCTTGAAAAATTCATGGTTAATTCGATTGTCACACAAAAGATTATAAGTAGGTCAAGAGAATCAATACCTATATTAGCTATGTCATAGGCAGGTAGGTAAATCTAATTGATTTTGGTAGTACAATGTTAACAAGATTTCATCGAAGAAAAGCACTTTGCTATATTGATTGTTCATTAAAATCACGCAATATATACTCCAATTGAACAATACAGGTATACAAAATAAACGTTTATACGAAATATTTATCGAAACTTCCAATGACGATACATATAACTATAGAATTCAAAGTTATATATATATCCATAATTTGATTGAATAGCAGTGTTTGTACACGTTGGACTTCTAAGTATACACATAACAATTACACTTCAATTTAATTCAAAAAATGATAAAATTGGATTTTTACGGAAACCTATATAAAAATACAAAAAAACAAGATGAGGCTTACTGTGAAATTCAAAAAAATACTTACCTTTTGCGCAAATCTCGTAATTTCGAAACGATACGTCTTCGTTTTGAAATTACGAACACTAGATTTGCGCAGAACCTGAATACTGTATACCTAATCTGTCACCTTATAGTAAGTCAAATATTCTGTCTATCACACTATCAATAATTATAATGTATCTTATGAAAATACCTTACTTTGCTTACTATACTGGCTGGGTTCCAAGAGGTTCCAGCTTGAAAATGAACACACTTAAATATTTCATTATACGTTATACAATCCAATTACCATAGCTTAGTCACGCAAAAAAATAAAACGAAGAATATCAATAATCCTGCAATCCCCAATATGGTTTGTATCACCTGAAAATAACATCAGCTTTACCAATTGAAGAAGTTGGTTAAAACAGTACCTAATAACTAATATAAAACGAGGGCAAATTTTCAATACATAGTTGCACATGAAGTCCGCGACAATTTTTCCAATTATTGAAACACCTTATATTATATTACCAAATATTCTGGATCTTCATGGAAGGTTGAATTGTTCAAAACTATTTCACACCCTCATAGGGTTATTTGTATGCAGTGTGTCCGTTATAGCCAGAGTGCTATTGTGAGATGAGGTTAAGAAATGTCGATTGCGCAATACTCGAATAATTATTCTTCATGAAATAATCGAATTTGAAAGAATGCCTGAATGAGCGTGTTTTTCGAAAAGTTTTTCTTCAATTTTCAAAGAATTTATCCATTACTTCACGAAAGCACTTCATTTAACGGACGCACTGTATACAAACCGTGTAAGTAATATATTTTGCCTACAAGCGTGCGCAAAGGACCTCTTCTATGTTCTATATGCACACATTTGCGTGCCCAAAGTCACACTTTTCCGCACGCCCTGCGGATAAGATGTTTATCCGCAGTGAGTGCGAGAAAGTAGGAAGACTTTGAATTCATTTCAATTGCTGTAGACTATTTTATGCAATATAAAAAGCCGTTG